GGGAGATGATGAGCTGAACGTGACAGTCCACAATAACATATCCTTCAAAATCTACTGGAAAGACTTCCTTCTCAAAAAATACGTGTGCTATTGTGCGGAGTGGAGGGAAGAGAAGACTAAAACAGCGTACAAGTCCTTTTACCTTAAAGGCAAAAACTACTATACTTTCTCTCTTTTAAAAGGTATGTTAATATTATGAGTTTTTGGTCAGCACCGTTTAAATGCAATTTGATTTGACTTGCCTAAATGATTTTATACACAATACTGGATTGATATTGGACAGCAGAGATCACTGCATGTTGTCAGATTTAGCTGGGAAAAACACTTTGGATATGGCTAGGGAAAGCTTTTAATTCGGTTAAAGTTAATTGTAAGTATGCAACTATGGCCCAAATGTTTCAAGCATATGTTTCTTTATAAAACGTGGATACTACTTCCATAACATTGTCCACTGATTTGTTGACTTGAGTTTAAAGCTTCTGTGTTAGAAAATGTACTGTCCCAATCTGTATTTATTTACTTATTCTAGAGCTAGAAAAACTGATTAGGTACTCGCATAGATACCTGGTATGGCTGTAGATGTATGTGTCTCCTCCTGCAGATACCTGTTAATTAGAGCTATGCGTAAATAAAATAATACTAGAGCTTGGAACTTGAACACTGAAATAAGCGTTTGTGTAAGTGCTAAATCAGCTTCAAAACCAAACCTGTCAGAAGTCCATTGCAGAGGTCTGTGCAACTGACTAACGTTCCTTAAGTGGCTTAGTGGAAGTTACTGTTAGCTTTCAAGTCACTGCTGATTTTTTTTCCTGTGTTCAGCCCAATCAACAAAAGCTAATCTGCTGACTTTACAAGTTGGTTGTGCAAGATTAGTCATTCTGTTTTGTTTGTCTGCCCTTAAAAAAATAAATATCAGCTGATATAATGGATTGGATTTATATAGCGCTTTTCAAGGCACCCAAAGCGCTTTACAATGCCACTATTCATTCACTCTCACATTCACACACTGGTGGAGGCAAGCTACGGTTGTAGCCACAGCTGCCCTGGGGCAGACTGACAGAAGCGAGGCTGCCATATCGCGCCATCGGCCCCCCCTGGCCAACGCCAGTAGGGTAAAGTGTCTTGCCCAAGGACACAATGACCAGGACAGAGAGCCCGGGGATCGAATCGGCGACCTTCCGGTTACAGATACGCTTCCCAACCCCCTGAGCCACGGTCGCCCCCATATATCGGAATGCTGGATTTTTAAATCACCACATGCCAGTACAGATTACAATCTGTGTCTATACTTTGGACCCATACAATGGATGTATGCCGCTTGCTGACCAGCTTGGAAGCCAAATTTGGCACTCCACCCCAAACCTGGCTCCAAAACACTAACATGGTGGAAACTTGAAAAGAGATATATATATATATACACCTACTTGCTTGTGAACACTTGAGTTGCTTTGCAAATGTAATAAATATATTTCATTTTCTTCCAGCGATCAATCATAATTCATTTGATATCTCAAATATCCAGAACCCTTGAAGCCTTACAAGAGATACACCGTCAGTCTGCACGTGCGACCGAATAAGGACACCTGCAACATGAAGCATCTTAACAACAGCGAAGGAACGTTTGCAAGCACAAAGTTTTATTTCATGGAAGGCAGTAAGGCACAGGCACTCTTCTCCAAAACAAGCAGACACACATACATTACAAGTCACCAACAAAACACTCTGACCTCTTGAAACTGCTTTCCCGTGTCATTCTTAAAGCTCCTGTGAGTGGTCCCGCAAACATCAGCAGTTACAATTTGACACAGAATTCAATGGTGCTGCAGTGGTCATCCATCCCAGAAGAAGACACCAGAGGCTTCCTACTGGGTTACACAATCCACTACACTGAGAACCACCTGAGGGGAACAGAATCTGAGAACAGTAAGACACCTCCACTTACTCATAAGCTTATTCATAAACTGCTGAATTTTGTTGAATATAATAATAGCACTGGCATCACATCCACTGGTTGCTCTACAGCACATGCATCATCCTCACTGAATTTCCTGTTTGTCAGCTACTTTGTTTACTCTTCTCAGTTTTCCTGAAGTTAATGAATGCTGTAATCACACTGCAGTTTTTAGTCTTGATTTTAATGACCTCATACACTACTTGATGTAGCTATGACATCATAACCTAATTAACTCTCTGGATAGGACTAGTTTGTCAAGATGGCTGAGCAACCTAAAGATAATCTACTATCAAATGTTACCGTTACATTATTTCTTTCAAAAGTCTTCCACTCACGTATTAAAATACTCCAAAATCATTTGACAGGAAAGCCATTCTAACACCGCTGCTGCTATTTCAGCAAGTGAATATGCTCATGATGACAATATTTTCATATGATAATACTAACATATTCATAAAGACAACACTAACATGTTCACCATTACACTGCTAATATGCTATGCTCATAATGATAATGCTAATATGTTCACAACGTCAATGCTAACATGTTCACAATGCTAACGCTAACATGCTTATAATGTCACTGCTAACATGCGCATAATGACGATGCTAACATGCTCATAAAGACAATGCTAACATGCTAATTATGACAAAACTATCATTTTGATTGCAGACATTACAGTGGATCCAAATGTTAACAAGTATGAACTAAAGGATCTTACAAGTGGCACAACATACCAAGTCCAGATATCAGGTTTCACCTCTAAAGGAACAGGAAAACGAAGTGAACCCAACTTTTTTACAACGACTCAAGAAGGTCAGTCAAGTAATATTTCAACCATCAACTGTACATATAATTAAATTTCTAATTTTTTGTTTGTGCCTTTATTTATTTATTTATTTGCACAGGAAGTTTTAAATTCACTAGTATTATTGCAGCCATTGCAGTTTTGGCTGCTGGACTGATATTTGGACCACCAATAATAAAAAGGTACAACCAATAGCTGGAACAGGATTCCACCAAAGTCGCTAATTAGCTATGTCTACCACTGTGCACAAGCTTTACCTTAACCATTCCTTTAATGCTTTTTAGAGCAAAAGTTGTCCTCTGGCCAAGCATACCTAATCCTGGAAAGAGCAATACAATGCAGAAAATAGACAGGCCCTGTGAACTGGTAAGTGTCAGCTGTGACAAAGCACACAGTTTTAATGTTGTGGAAACCTAAAACAACCTGAAACTTATTTTAGGGGACTGCTATTATAGTCCCAGTGCATCAGATGAAATATGTTGTATAAAATTAAATACATCAGTGTGTCATTTGGTTACATAGGAACTCCTTGAGGTAATCAATACTCTGAAGGCTGAAGAATGGGAAACAAAAAGTCTCCATATAATTGAGAAAGAAGCTGTCGCCCCTGCCACGATATTGCCAGCAATGCTACCGCTTCTTTGTGGCTTAGACAAACGGGGAGATTCACCAGGAATTACTTGTAACTGGATCCAAACAGAGACAGATGATGCAACTGGCAATACATCTCCCAACAATACTACAGACACATTGTTGGAAACCCAGCAGACAGACCTACAAAGTTTTCCTTTTCCCTTTCCAAGTGGCTATACCACGATGGAAATGTTTCAGCAGGTAATGCCACAGAGCATCACTGCCGTTACTCAAGACATGGAAAGTGACCCAGAGGACGCAGACCTGACTGTACTCAATCCTAAGCCAGGACTGGACTATGTAAGACAATTTAGCACCAGTCCAGTCTCGGACAGTGACCACTTGTCCACTATTTTGTGATAAAGGTCAAACTGCAGAGTATAAAGAGGAAAAATCACTATGTGAACAACTTAGTCTAAAAGGCCAAAGTAAGAACTGCTGCCCCTGACTGTTTCTGCTGTGGCTTATGAAGAACAACAATTCAGTTTACCAACAACATGGATTCATTTGGCTAATAAAATCAGCAGAATTACCAAGACAGTGTTTACATCACATTTATGTAAAAAACTTAACCAAAAGAATGGCATGCCAGTTGTTAGAATTGGAGTAAAAAGACAAAACATCCTCCCAAAAAGTGCACTTAACCATTACCACGGTCAATGAATTAGCTATCAATATACTGCTGCATGGGCTGAGCTGAAGTTACATGGTAAGGTTTTAAAAACTGAGCTTTAAAATGATTAGCGGTAATAAAAACAGAGAGAGGCCGACAGTGATTACTGACTGTTTTTAGGGGCTTGTTGAGATTAAATATAACAAGATACAAAGCATTAAAACATGTAAAAAACACAAAGTCCTTATTAAACGCAGAGTCGTTTGGGCCCGGAAGCAGGATTCATGACGTCATCACTTAAAGACTGAATAGAGGTAGTTGTGCAAAATCTTGTGGCCTTAAGTCATGGGGAAAAAAGGCACCATTCACCAGTTTAACACACAAAAACATTTTCAAACTTTTTGAAGGCTGTTCATTGTCAGCTGGTCTGAAATGTTCAATCAGTGGCTGTTCTCATAATGAAGACCTTACTTTACGTCACCCTTTTGCAGAAAGCCTAAACAAAGCTTAGCAGTCTACAACCATAAGGTGTTACTTGAAATGCTTGTCTTAGCCATGCCGACCTTTTGTAAACCACAATAAATGGAAGGTATGACTGTGGCTTATGCGGTTTTCATCATGTGAACAGATTACTTTTACTTGGAAATAAAGAGCTCTCTTGCCCGACATCTTTTGAGGAGCATGAATGTCTAACAAATTTTGTGCCTTTTTATCTCATTGAAGTTGGGGTATGTCACAGCAGAGGTCAGACGTTTGACCGGAAGACAAATAGTTGAAGCTCAAGGTGTTCACTTTGGTCAGACACTGTTCAATTAACAGAGATTTCTAAAGGCAGATCATATATCGCACACACAGATGAGTGAAAGTGTTATCCGTAAATATGAATTGTTGCTACTCTTTCAAAGCACAGATAATAATATAACTGGGCCCATATCGAGAACTCGTGGTGCACCACAGTCAACACAAAGCCCAAGTTACAAAATCAAACAAAATTAGTCAATGAAAAATCTCTTTTATTGAGTGTTTTTGGAAACGGATGTACTGTTAGATTTGAAATGAAGAGGATTTATACATGAAAGCTCTTCAAAAACAGTGGCACCACACTTTTACATAGAGTCCAAAATCCAGCATCAAAGGACCACTCCTCATGGACTGAACCGTCAAACATGTTTATACATAATATACCTTCAGAAGTGGGTAAATGTTTATAAAAATAAAATTCTTCACATACTGAAATACTTGGATTTTTAAAACTACATTTTAAGATGACCACTTCAGACTGAAGATTTGTTTTTGTTTTTTTAAATTGTAAAAACAAAGTAAGAAAAAAAAAAAGGCAGAAGGCAGGACAACAAAATACAAGCAATCATAAAATCAGGTCTGTAAAATCCAGCAAAGAGGAATTTGGCCACACACAGCCATAAAGTATCCTTTTAAAAACACGTTCAAAAAACAGAAAACACACATACACAAAGTCACATAGATCTCAATCTGGGGCCAGCTTGCAAACACTCGACCGAATAAACTGAAATAGTAAAAATAGGTCTACTTAATTATTAGTATACTCTGTAATGAATTAATGAGGACAGCTAAAACTTTATTATAATGTCTCGATAGTTTTCAACATCCTAAACAAGTCTCCATATTTTTTCTTAGTTTAGGCACTTTTTGGCCCTAATGTGCTTACATGCAGTTTGTGGACCTTTGACGTTTCCTGTTCAGTCTCTTCTTGGCTGCTTCTGAGAACTTTAATCGCCCCACTTTCTCCAGTAACATCAGCTGACAGACATTTATAGCACATCACCATTATTTTACAGTATAGGCATGTGACTTATATACAGTATAAAACAGTATATAACTTTTTTTCTCCTCACACAGTATTAGAACAATAGCAGGACGTGATACTTTGTGACCTTGTTGCAACTGCTAACCAGAAATAAAAAAAAAGTGATTCAATGATGTACAACCAAATGAGTTCACTGTTCACAGCATAAGATAACACCGTTCTCTAATCTTGTCACTATGCCACTTCAAGCCATAAAATTAAAATGCAGTTTGCAGGATGCAACCGTTCCCGGACCATAAAACAAATATGGTGCAAAAAGGGGACTTAAAGGTAACTTCACTGACATCACAGCCCACATTTTCCTTCACCAACATACAAAGGGGCAAATGAACTTTTCAGCATAAGCAGAAATGTTATTTTAAACTCAATATTCCTCTAAGGGACTTTGTGTTTATCCATTTCCTGAAACATCACATATATAATGTGCCATTGCTTCACTTAGTGAAAAGGCAAAAAAACCAAACAAATATGGGAAGTTTCTCGCACAGCCATTGTGTGACCACAGCCAGCGCATTAAAAATAATGGGAAAAACAAGCCAGACTGTGTACAAGCCTGTGGGGGAAAAGAATTAGAGTTAGCTGCTTTAAGGTAGGCCTACCTTCTAATTAACCAGTCTCTAGTGTAGGAGTGTAACCTTCAGTTTCTTACTTGCATCGCCTTCTTGCTCACCATGTCCTGTTTAACAACACCAACATGATGATGACAGAAAGACTCAGGTTGAGGGTCTAAGATGGGATTTCACGCTATTTTTTTTTTTAATATTCAGATTATGGGAACCCTGCTTTCACTCTGGCTCTCACACAGGACAGGCATGCAACGAACCCTTTATGTTCCTCACTAAACAATTTAAGACAAACATTTGACTCCTGCTGCAGATTGTTGCTGCTTATTTTTACTTCAAAACTTTTTTGAAGTACTCAACCTTACAGTTAATAAATATGTAATTATGTGACAGTCACAAATAACATATCTAGCTTTAAATGAATCGATAAATGAGTATGACCTCTATTCCTCATCTGTGTATCTGGAATGTGACCAACCTTCCTGGAAATGCGGGAACATTACAGTACTACTATACTAGCTGTCAAAAGTTTAAGAACCTATACCATAAGGACATAAAAGCAGAAGAAGAAGAAGAAGTTGTCAGTGGAATAGCTAAGCAGAAAAAGTGTGGCCTTCTCTATGATGCTGAGCACTCACTTGCCCTTAAGGTTCGATAGTGAGATTAGGCTGACTTAGAGGAGCCATGTGTGTCACCAGTCAGGGGATGATAATGGGAAAGAAAAAAAAGTAAGATGCCATTCAGTGCTTCTGTATGTACACACACACACACACACACACTCACGCACACACTCACGCACGCACACAATGGGCAATAAGATACCTGGATGAACAATATTAGTGTCCATGGTGTTGCTGAAGTCACTTTGCACCAACATATGCTTCCTCCTCGTGGTTAGTCTTGTAGCTGCCGTTATGCTGGGCGCAGGGTGATGACGTCATGTCCTCACTTGGTGTGGCTGAGCCTTCTCTGTCACTTTCTTCCTTTCCTTCTCTGACATGCCTCGCTTCAGCCTGAAATGGCAACAATGAACGATCAACTTTGACCAACAAAAATATTCAAAGAGAAAAACGCTCAAGTGCAGGAAAACTATGCTGTGCACATTAACAATTATTTGATACTTCCATCTTTTTCAAACAGGAGTTTATCTGACAGTTGTAAACATCAAGTACTTAAGCTTATAGTACAAATATGTACCTAATCTCATACTAATTGATAATAAAAATTAGTATCTGGAATAAGCTGAGGCATCCCCTCATGTTGTCCAAGATAAGGACAATTTTGGACAATACCTCCCACCCAACATGCTGGACAGCCACAGGAGCATGCTCCGTGAAAGACTGATTTACCCAAATGCACCACTGAAAGACACAAGAAATGATTCCTGCCTGTGGCTCTCTCCCTATACAACTCCATCTATAATTACACCCTTTTGCACATGCTCTACAGTGAAAATAACAAATAACAATGTTTTACAGTTTACAGTAAAATGTCAATCATATATATTTAATCTCTGTAATATTCTGCATATTTATAATTGAGCTTTTCGTATATATTAGAGCTGTTTCTTAGATTTTGTAACTTTGCAATATATTACATTTAGTTCAGTCTGTTACTGTTCTTATCATCTTGGAGCAACTGTAAATAAATAATTTCATTAAACTATTCTGATTCTTGTGCTTTTTGTTATTAAGTCTGCTTGCTAAAAATCAATATTTCACTCCTGTAACAGCCTGCATATCATCTGGAATACTGGTTTAAATCTGGTTTGCGTAACTTTGCAGCAATCAGCACCAGAGCTAAGAGCTCTGATGTTACTTGGAACACATAGGTCAAAGGGAGGAAGAGCAGAAATGTTAATCAAGATGCATTGTATTTTTATAACAAGTTTTCTTTTCTTTTTTAAATCAATATTTGTACCAGCTTCACTGTATATTAAATTAACAGTGACTGTGTTGATTCTGGTTGCAGTTTCATGTAAAAAGCTGTTAACCAAAATATGTGACAAACCCATACGGATGCTGCAGCTCGTCTTGCAGAAATGATGGTGGTTTTTGAGGAGAACATTTGTTTGGCTGTTACTTGTCAAACAAATGTTCAGATTGTTATCAACAGAAAGGCTCGAGTGTCACAAATCTAAATCACCTTTTATCTCTTGGCTATCATTTGGGGGATCTATGTAGTAAACTTCAGAAGTAGGACAGTCGTGTGGTTTGATACTCAAGTTGGAGACGAATGGAAACATTCACTTGTGCTGGTGTGAATGACATGCAACAATGCCACTACTTTTGAGGTAGAAACTATTCAGAATGGGACTTTCAGAGTGATCTGCAAACCAAAGTGTGCTGAGAACTAAACCATACAGCAAAAGATTGATGTCACATACCAGAAAGACGAAGCTCGTGCATGCAAGTTGTATTATTAAATGCTTCCAGGTCTATGGATCTGGAATAATTAGATAACTCCAAGTATAAGCAACATAATGTGCACATAACTGAGTCATTCCTTATTTGTAAATTATTAGATTTGTGACTGAAGCGTAATCTGTAATACCTTCCCTGGCTTGGCTTTGCTCCTTATCCTGTCCTCGTCTTTGCGGCTCCTTTTTCTGGAGGTGGAGCCGTCCCTTCTGTCCCTGCTGCGTTCTCTCTTCTTCTCTCTTTTACTTCTAAAAGTAAGAAGCAACCTTCAAGCAAACATAACTGAACCTACAATTGTATAACACAGTAAAAAACTTACCTACAAAAAATGTTTGGCAGCATGAGATGGTTGGATTTACCTTTTTGGTGACGGTGATTTGGCTTTCCTTCGAGGGCTTCTTGACCGATCCTTACTCCTGCGCTTGTGCCCCCTGGTAACAACACTTTATTAAGTGCATGGAGATAAAGGTGTTATAAATAACACATCTTATTTTAGTTAAACGATCAACATCCTTTTTTGCGCCACGATAACATACAAACAGCAGCAAATTTAGAGAGATATGAAGATTAAGAATCTGGTGCCCTCTACTGCCAAATGCAAGAATCACAGGTCTTATTACAGCTGATCAGATTCTTTTATTATTGTTATTATTAAACACGTAATAATCCAGAAATATTCCAGGAGTGTGTTGTAGGTGGTCCCATGTGTTGAGCTAAACGACAGTATAACAAAGACATTCAGACTCTTGGGAAGAAAAAAATCAGTGAGGTTTTTGCCTCACTGCATACCTCGAGCGACTCCGACTGCGTCTCCTGTCTCTGGAGCGAGAGCGTCTCCTGTGACTGCTTCGGGAACTGTGTGAGTCACTGCCCGGCAGCAACCTCTGTGATGTTCTGCTTCAAACAGAAGCAAAAGGGGAAAAGTGTCAACAACTAAATTGTAACGCAACACTAAAACCCTGATGCTAAAAAAGCCAGTCACCTGTGTTTTGAGCGGGATCTTTTCCGGCGTGCCTTTGAGTGTGAACGGGAGCGTGAACGTGAATGTGACCGCCGTGACCTTTGAGACTGGCTGGAGGAACGCTTCTTTGTTTCTGTGAGAGGAACAAGCAGTAATCTCAGTACACGACAATTACTTCAGCAACTTTAATCAAGTCTTCATGCAGGAAGACCAAATATCGTACCAGGTTCAATGGCAGCAGCAATGGTAGACTGTGCTTCACGCACCCTCTTCATCACATTTTCTAACTCTTTAGCAGCAGCCTGAGGCGTCAGCTCTGGGGGTTTCACAATAGCGTTATTGGAATGATTAACCCTGAAAGACAAAAGTATCAACCGGCTCTTAAAACCACGTTATTTTACGCATTTTCCCATTTTACAATTTTAACTAAATACATACTTCAGCGGTCTGTCTCCAAACATGACTCCATTTAATGTGAGGGCTCTGGCAACAGACTCTTGCTCAACAAACTCTACAAAGGCAAAACGAGTTGGTTGGGTCTCATCTCCGGCCATTCGGACAAACTTCACATCTCCCACCTGTTTAAAGAATTCCAACAGCTGCTCTGCAGTGGTGGTCTGCGGAAAGAAAAGATCAACTCAGTTTAAAGAAACATACAAGCCCCAAAATACAAAGCTTTTTAAAAACCGCTGAACCTAGAACTGGGCAATTTAATTGGTAGAAACTGTTGTCAATGCTCTCAGATTTTGTCACATCTTTTTCTTAATTTTTATTTTCTCTGTTTAACCTTCGGATGTCTGCACTCATCACTGCATTCTGTTTTTATCTACATTTAAAAAAAGCAAACCAACTTTTTTAGAACTGGGGCTGTACATGTCATCAATTTACAGATGTTTCACAGATGTTTAAAACAACAGTATTGGCCCAGAATTTTACAACTGAGCTTATAGTTTCCTCAATATGGTGAAGGTGGTACAAGCCAAACCCAAACAAGTAAGTAATAATATTATCATGAGCCTGTAGAATGAGGTCACATGGCCTTTAAATATACGAAGACTTTTGTGTTACCTGTGAGTTCAAGTTGCCAACATACACTGTCCTCCTGATCTCATCAATTTTTGAGGGATCCACATTTCCCATGAGCGGCGGCTGGGCGAGTACTGACGACGAGGGGTCGAGATTGGCTGGAAGTCGATTCACTAAGGGAAGGTTCAGCTGCAGGTGTGTGAAACAAAGACACAGGTTTTGTTAGTACTGCACGATTATGGTGAAAGGCATGATCATTTTATTATACTGTCATGTAAACTTAAAGCTGCTTTCACATCCATGCTGTGCCACATTTCTGCTAATGTACAAATATCTGCAGCAAAATAAAATTTGCCCCCCACAACACAAATAAAATACAGTAAAAGTATAAAAGTACCAAAATCAACCACTGCTACAGTTCCTGTTAGTTAACCTTTGCAAACAACAAAAGGTGTTTGTTAGCATGACTTAAGTGTATCACCTAGAAACACATTTAAACAAAATAACTCAATTTACTGTTTCCTACACGGAGGATGTGACTAAAACTATAACTAAGATCATCATGACATTAACACCTTTGCAAAGGTTTTGACACTTTGGACCAGAGAGCCTTTATTCACACGTGCAATTATTGTTCCATTTACTATTTTCTTAAATCCGCGGTGACTCTACGATGTTTAGTTCACATGTTTGACCACACAGAATGACATCAAATTGGCGATTTCAATGCATTGTTAGCCACACCATCGCACCCTTGCACAGGCTCGCTTTTACGGACATCCGACTGCAGGTGATCCACGTTAGCAACCACAGCGCTGTTGTCTTTAAGTGATGCATTCTTTATCCTGCAGTTTGTGGTGAGTTTTCAGTAAAGCCAAAGTATTTCTAAACAGCAGATGATGATCTGCCTCAGGAGACAAGCTCTTCTACTCGGCTCCACATATGAATTATGTTGCACATCTGTCTTTTAGCATAGTTACTCATCCACATTATTTCAGGAAACTTAAAGCTGCACGCTGCGGGAAAGTATCATGACGTATCATTTAGAGAGTGCCTGATTTGTTTTTGCTTTGTGTTCTATTGGTGAAGCACACATTTTAAACATCAGTTGGTAATAGTTATTCAACAGTGCGAAGTAAAACCGTGATCATGATTTACACTAGAATGGATCATTCTGACCTCGTGAAATTTTAAAAATCATACAACTCTGGTAAAATAAACCCCACCCTCTCACATTTTCATGGCACGCCAACCATTAATCTGAAATACTCGCATTGTCCAATTTTAGTTAAAATTAGATGAAAATTAACAACTTTGACATCTTTGTCCTCTGCTGTTGTTGTAGGATGGGGTCAAAATGACACTTCCTAGTGTTAATCTCAATCAAAATTCTGACTTCTTGACTGCTACTGTGTGATAATGAAAATGGATGCTTCACCAGTAGACCACAAAGCAAAACCGAATGAGGCACTCCCTAAATCACTACCTGATGACATGCAACTGTATATTATGATTTACTTGCATGAATAACAGGCAGACACGAATTATGACAGTGGCCAGACTTACATTCTGAAGTGGAGCTGGAGTAGGAATTGGCAGCAATCCCCCACCAGGAATCAGACTGGGTACTGGAGTGGCAGGTGCCAAAAGTGACAAAGCCTTGGCCTCTTCTGGGATTTTCCCTGCAGGACAAAAGCAGATATTAGTGAAGGCAATAGAAAAACTCTCCTCTTTGTCTCCTCTATGTCTGCACAATTAGCCCACTGTACTCTAGAGAGAAAGAGAGCATACACTTCCCATACAGCCTACAAATCTTCTACTGTCTACTCATGATATACTGGAGACCGAGCATCCTTACTTTGCTTTTATTAAAAAAAATAAAACAAAGAAAAAAAAACATTTCTCTCAGTGAATCTGAATTATTCTCAATGAAAATCCTTACTTTCTCAAAAACAAAAAGAAAACTTATTTTGTCCTTGGTCTCTTTTCAAAAACATAAAGAAAGGAAGAAAGGAGAAACAAAATAATGCAGAGAATGAGTCAACACTTTGATGTATGGGTCACCTGTACTGGAAACATATTGGTCATGAACCATACGATATCAAGCATGGACGCTTTTCCGTGGGGGGAGGGGGCGATCGTTTCGGAGTGTCGGAAAGGTGTGCAACACAAGACAACCCCAATGGCTGCATCACTAATAGCACACAGAACATCAGATACAGAAAAGAACAACAATTTTAAGAACTGTAGGAAAGGTTAGCCAAAACTTAGCTATAAAAAACACCTAATTAGAATTTTCTTTTTTTTCCTCTCTGCATTCTAATCTGCTTCCTTGCTGCAGAAGTTAATAAAAAAAAAAAACAGCTACAGGTTTATCACATCATAGCTGGTGGCACTGAGCATAGAAATGACACATTTCCCCTTCTAATGTTAGAAGGGGAAAAAAAGGAGCATTAATGTCACCAAGCATTAATGCGTTTGACTCACTGCTAAATACTAAACATCCACATTAGAGTCGTAGAGCACGAATATGAGGAAAAAGCCCTAACTGCTGCCTTTTACAACACACTTGAATTACAGATGTGAAGTGCACTTATAGCTTGAAGAATTTTATGCTCCGATGAGGTAAAGTTTTCACTGCCGACTCTCACTTTTTCACAAAGACTAGCCCCTCACTACAACGAGGCGTAGTGGACAGGAGAGTAAAGTGTTAGGGATCCTCCTAGCATCCCATGTGTGACACACATCCCCATCGGTATGCCGTAGCAACCTGGACAGAACTCAATCACACACAAGCTGCAGCTGTAGCGGAAAGAGAGAGGGGGGTGGGGGGGTTGGACAATAATCAAAACAACAAACCAAAATAACAAATATAAACACAACGCTAGAGATAAGCAATATTGTAGTATTCTGGATAGAGACAGTAGAGAGTGGACAACATGGGAAAGTATGAAAGGAAACAAACCAAAAGAAAAAAAAATTTCAAAAGGAAAAAAAAAAAAAAAAAAAAAAAAAAAAAGAGACAAGGTGTCCATCTTGGAAGGTTCAGCGGGCTATTCTCCTGGTCACATTCCCCCCTTGAAGGCTGCGTTGGCCCGATCGGGGATAGTGGCTTGGAAAACAATGCCTGACTCAGGCTAGTGTAGTAGTGTAACAGCTGGGCCACTCTAGTCATCTGATATGCACACATAATCACACAGAAAAAACATACAAAACCAAATTAATAAACTCAGTAGCCATCCAGCACCAAGTCACGTGGACAAAAAGCATCAAGTCAGAGGTGATATCATTTTGACTGTACACAAGGAACAACAGTGGCACCAAAGAGGGAGGGAGATTTAATGAAAAGAAGCACCGAAACAAAAACAAATAAAAATATGTATCTATGTTTTTTTTAATGAAGAGAGAAAAGGGTGAGTTATTGAGTAATATCCATCAAACAATATTTAAAATATGCATAAAACTATTTTCTGCAGGCAGTCCAGTGTTTATAGTGTGGATTCAGCTTCAAAAACATTCAACCTAGCTTTAATGGCCTGTGTGGAAACCATTTTGTGAAACCATACAAGAGACCCTAGCTCGGTGCTATGGGAATTTCTTTTTTTGTAAATGCTGTGGCGATACAACCACTAACCTGTACCAAATAATTGTACACAGACAGTTAAAAAAAAAAAAAGAAGACCTAACCAGTGGCACAACTCGACAATTTTTCATGTGGGTTAAAAAAATAAAATAAAATAATCACAATTACATAAAAATAACCCAGAATTCAACCACAACAACTGAATTCAGAGGAAGGAGGTCATAACAAAGTCAAGGTTGTTTCTTTAAACGTAAAGGCCTGCACTCACCTTCCGCACATGGTACTACTATCAAAGCTCTGTCAATAAACACAGTATTAGTGAGATGTTGCGCCACACCAACACTGGAGGGGTCTCGGTACTTTATGTAGCACACTTTGGACGAGAAAGAGAGGGGGGCGTTGCTGTAAACAAAAAAAACGGAAAAGGGAAAGAAAGGAGAGAAAGAAGCGTGGGAACGCGGGTTAGTCATTTCATTTTGTTTCATCTGGGACTTTTTAGTTTATAATTTAAGAACCGCGACAAGGCCGCAGGTCCGCAGAGTTGCTTGACTAGCCATGCCGAGGCAGACTGCTCTTACTCGGGCGGGTAGAGCCGCAACTCCTCGATGTCTCCCAGGAAACCGAAGAGAGTGCGCATCTGCTCGCTGCTCACGGCCGAGGACAGGTTGGTTATCTGGACGACGGGTGTCCCCGGTATCCCGCTCATTATGCAAACTACTAAACGCGACGCAATAAATAACGTTTTTTGTTTTTTTTAAAAAAATTTAAATTTTTTTTTATTTTTCAGTTACCCTACTGTGTTAAATACACAGAGCATCCAAGAAGGCGAAGCGACAGGGGTTCTTCCTCTTTATTCCCAACAGGAGTGAACAGTACGCTTTGAGGTCCGCTACCGCCCCCTGGTGCATTGTATAGTACACTGCATTTAATCAGTTTAAAATGATTCGTTGGCCATATCGCTCATGGTCGATATCAAGCCAGGAAAAAAAAAAACATTAGTCATTTCTGTCAACTGGCGAAGAAGGTAGCAGAAGGAATATAACATTACAGTCCTATTAAGATATTTTAAGTGGCCAAAAAGGACAGGATTGATTCTAATATAGGTAAATAATGCATAATAATGATAAAATATAAAATAATCTTAAAGATAGTTGCAAAAACAGGTCTTTTTAGGTTTTATCTGTCATTTATATGTAAGCCCTTCGCAAATCCTTTTGATTATAGTTACCAGTATAAGAGATTATATATAGAAGTCACTATTTTAGGACAATACTGGCCAGGTTCAAAATTAACTTTTATTGCTCACCTCAATAAATAAAGTAAATGTCAATGATAACAATTTTTAGCATAATTGTACCTAGGAAAATTAAACCTTGCAGGCTGTGAAAAGAAGAAAAGGAATCAAGCAACTGATCTTCAAAGTGGAAGTAGCACAGCATGTTGGATCCGATATGCTCAAGTTATTCATCCACAGAAATAAAATATTTAGGGCCAAGCAGAATATATATCACAATGACTTGGTCATCGACAGGACTTATAGACTTTAGTGAAGTTCATGGGTCACTTCAATAACATGAGACTATGACATTTACTTAAAACAGCCAACAAATTTGAATGTATGTGTCCATGTTAGTTAGTTACTCATTTATCTTTTTCTTCTTCTTCTTCTGGATGCTTCCTTAAGGGGTCACCACAGTGGATCACCTGCCTCCTTCACAACCTTTTCCTAGCATACTTTTCTGTCACACCAACCCTCTCCATGCCCTCCTTCTCTACATCAGTGAACCTCCTCCGAGGTCTCCCTTTTTTACTCCCGCCTGACAGCTCCATTTTCAACATCTCTTGTCCAGCATATCCACAATCCCTCCTCTACACACGTCCGAACCACGTCAGCCGAGTCTCTCTAACGTTTTCTCCAAACTGAGCCGTCCCTCTGATGTACTCATTTCTAAATCTGTCCATTCTGGTCACTCCCAGTGAAAATCGAAACATTTTAAATTCCACCATCTTTAAACCAAACGTCATAGCATCTCTGTACATACTGAACGACTGAAATTTGTATTTCCATTTTTTAACTTTCTCAGTGAAGCCAGGGCTTCTCAAAATATTCTATAACCACAATCAGAATACTTTATCCCTAATGAAATTATGTCGAATATTGTGCCGAGATCGCCACAGCAATAATTAAATTAGAAAGTACTGAATATTAGTATCCACTGGGTAACAGATGAATTTAAACGTTTGAAACACAACTTAAATGCAGATAGTGTGATTGTATACATCTTCAGAATTCATTAAAAACTTTTCGAGCTATTGTGTTTAAAGACATTAATGCACCCAAGTGCAACCAAAAACATAACCTTCAAAAAATAAACATGTTTGGCAATTTTGTTTTCATGAAGTCCGAACCTATATCTGTACAAAAGCATTAAAGAAGCATATATTTATGTCATTGTGTGTGTAATTGACATGACGTGTGAGGTCCGCACACACACACATGTATTTATAGTGTACAGTGAGGTCCACAGTCAAGATGTGAGTGAACTGCAGATTTTTACCGTTAATTCAATGGCTTTTACAAAAAAATCTACATTGACTCTTTATGGATGACACTTTGATACACTGCACCCAGAGGACAACTTTGACATCATTTTTAATATAAAGATTGTTTTTAATTCTTGGATAAAAATCCTGAAGTGTAGAAGCCACAGATTTTGCCACATCCTCCCTTGAGATGCTGCCAGGCTCTTACTGCAGCTGCCTTCAGTTACTGGAAAGCATGCTATACTGTGCCGACATTTGGTGACACGCTCGGTCACTGAAGCGGCTTTGAATGGGAAAATCCTGGCTTGTGCTGCCATCCCACTAGTTTTGCAACGTGATCCTGCTGCTTGTGTCAGCAGTCACATCATCAGCAAACATCCGCTCTGCTAGATGATGTGATCTTCTTTGGATCATGAGCTCTTCCCATCATTCTGGTACAAGTTATGTTGTTTTCATCTATCCAAAGAACAGTTTCCAGAACTGTGCTGACTCTTTTAGATGCTTTCTTACAAAATCTAATCGGACCTTCTTGTTTTCGATTGTAACCAGGTGTCTTCGGTGGTCTTTCTGGCCAGTGCATTTCTCAGTTTTAATAAAGTAACAAAAAAAATTCTGTTAGGTTTTTTGGTCTAAAGATGGCCTCCTTCACTTGTATAGGTATCTCTTTGGACCCCATATTGAGTGGGTGGGGTGGCTGTAGCTTAGGTGCTAGAGCAGGTCACCTACTGATTGGAAAGGTGGTGGTTCCATCCTTGTCTGCTCCAGTCTGCATGCCAAATATTGGGCAACATACTAACCCCAAGTTGCTCACAGATGAATCTATCAGATTATGAATGCGTGTGAATGGTAGATAGAAGCACTTACATAGAGCATAGGAAGAAAAGTGCTTGTGTGTATGAGGTAAGTTGTATAAAGCGCTATACAAGAACCAGTCCATTTACCAAGAGTTGTCAGATACAAGTTCAACAAATGGAATCAACTTAAACTTTTATCTGCTTAATTTGTCATTAAATAATGAGCCTCATGTGGCCATGAAGCAGTTTATCAACTGTCCAATTACTTCTGAGCCTTTTGAAAATGGAGCACTGACTACAAAAAAAGAAGTTATTAGTTACGTTAGACTTGCGCTAAAAATGTCAGGCAATGCAATCAATACTTTTGTTACACCTACTCAATGTAAGCCAAAGGTCTGTACTTTAATGATACCGATTGTTTACCATCCCAGTGGATTTTAAACGGAGGCAAAATTACTCCCCAAAAACTTAACAGTACAGTCTGTTATTTATGTAGTGATCCAGTTAATCTAATCCTAGTTTTGCATTCATCCTTTTATATAAGCTCACAGGATAATAAAAGAAAACGACACAAAAATCTGTGTTAAACAGCATTAGTTTATTTTCCACAGGTTACTTCAGAAACAGGTAATTATGTACAAAATCTGGAATGTTGGATAAATGCATATCAATCATCGTCATGATCATCATCTCACCGTGACCATTTAGAAAGAGTAGCTATACATTAAAACTGGTGCCTCTGAATTGCAATTTATTGCTGGTTTTACAATCGCAAGTCACTAATGCCATTATGACCTCTTTTCTAAAACTTTTTAAGGGTATTTACAGTTTGATTAGGAAGGTCTGAAATCCAAAGAAGGCTGCTAAATAAATAAAACGGGAGCGTGAGAAACAAACCAACATGGATGAAGAAAGCATGAAAACAAGCTTGATCTCCCTAGATTGTCTACAATGTCAGACTTTATTTTTTATTTTTTGCCATGATTATAAAGTGACCATTAACCATTTCCCATTAAAAGTCAGAGACAGTACAGAAAACAACCCACAAAATTAAAACAAATAAAATCAATAATCTCATCAGTGTGAAAACAAAAAACAGGTTGTGAGAAACTAAAAATGTCAGAAGCACATTATGTTGTCACTTTCCTGAAAACAAAAGTTGCCCAAACTAGACTGAATTTAAAAACTAAAATGGTACAGCTTCATTTAGATCAGCGTGATATTCTAAATATTATTTTATTAAAAGGGATAAAAATGTCGTCAATTTCCACAGTGTTGTCATTTTGGTTTGTCAGTGCCACATGAATCAAATACTTTCCCACTGTTGCCACGTACAAGAAGAGCTCCTAATCTAATTGGCCGTCGTGAGTCGAGGGGATGCTTCTTGTTCAAACAAGAACAAGAACATTGTTAAAATGCAATTTATATTGTACAACTCAGTGGTCACAAATGTGCGGCTGCAAATGAGGCATTCACTGTCCCAATCAGAGTCGAGTTTTTTACGCTGACGACAATGCTTTAAAAACCACAATTTTCCTTCGGTGACGAACATTACAAATGTCTCGACCTACATTAAAACATTAGAAGACACGGTATGCTACGCAACACACGCTAAAACCTGCTCTTACACAACGCAGAGTTTTTGTTTGTTTTTTTAATCTTTTTTTGAAACACTACCATATATTTATTTCCTGTGCCATTTCATTACAAAAAGATTCTTTTCACAATATAAAAAAATCATGTAAAATCATCAGGGAATACTAAAAGGTTGTGTTGTTTAAAAAAAAAGAAGAATTTTTTTTGTGTGAATGAAAATAAAGGCTTTAAATATTGCTTCTAAGCCATTATGCTGCAAACGTACTCAGGAGGTTGTGAATATGTGAGTATTGCTTGGGTTCTGGCGTCAAAGGTCCCCCCACCACCCTGTTCAAACAGTTCAAGGTCTATGGCACTTGACAACTGGTTTCTCCTAAATCTATTCTCTGTACAGCGAAGAAAATCCCCAAAACAAAAAGGTGATTAAAACAATGGCTAAACATTTTTATAGACACACAAGGCAACCTATGGTCCATTTAAAAAAAAAAAAAAAAATTATAATAAAACTGCCAGATGTTGAAACCCTCTCAGCTCACTGTCGGCTGCCTGAAAGAGGAAGCCCCTAAAAATAAAAATTAAAAACATGACTCAAGTCTCTCTTAAGATACCTCCTGCTTTTCTTTACCGTCTGCCCACGGTTTCTAAACTTGCTTTGGTTAAACTAGCATAACCGCCACATCGTCCTCAGAGTCAAACAGCTCTCATGATTTGAGAAATGCACCTAAAAACAAGGAAACAACTTCGATGTATCCATCTGCAGCAATCTACCTACTAACCAAATATGAATATTTCCCAATAATCTGTGTTTTTCTGTATTTTAAATGAAAGACTAGCAAAGCAGATTAACCAAACCCAACTATTATATGCCTTCAATTTCCTGTCCCATTATGTGATCGCATGCAGGGTGCATTTCTTCAGCTCCATTTATATTGCAG